AAGGTAGAGTGGCACATGGCAGAGGGCTACAGCTCATGGCGGCAGAACACAGCAAAAGCAACAAGCACTAAAAAGGGAGGAATGGCCTCAAGCAGACTCTTCCTCTCCCTTATATAGGCAAACTGTCCACCCCAGAGCGGATGTAGCTCTCACACCCATAATTAATCAAACTCTAAAAGCCTGCCCCATGACCTCATGAGGCTTTGGGGGGACACACAGACACAAACCATAACAGGGTCCCAGATGACAGTTAGCTGGATCACAGAGTCTACAGTAGCTGCCTGTGTTGATCACACCATGATGGTGATCATGGCAAACATGACTTCTAGGACATTTTGCGGATCCTCTGCCCCCATGGATCTTAAAAGGAAAATCATCATAGATTACATCAGCTTCCTGTTCCTTCCCTCCTTGAGGACAAATGTGCACACGCACACTCACGTTCACCCACTCACACCCCACGCTCGCCCATTCACTTACAAAGCTCAAGATGATCACGAGGTCTCACACTGAGCCGTGCACATTTACAGGATCATTCTTCCACCTACGCACACATTTACTCTCACACACTCACCACTGCAGACCCCCGCCTTCACAGAGAAGAAATATTCCCGGTGCTGAGCCAATGATCACAGTTGCAGAGACAGAAATCATATGAAGCCCAAAAGAGATGAACAAGCAACCGCTCTAGGCAGTGGCACCTTTAAATTAAGGATGTCGCCAAGAAACCCAACCCAGACCCACACTGCAAATTTCCCACTCCTCCCTTCCACACTCTTCCCCTATTCAAACACCCATATAAAACCTCCTCCTCCTCCCCCGCCGCACTCAGGGCCAGTGGTCTTATTGCCCTCTCCCGCCCGCTCCCAGGCTCCAATAAACTTCGTCTGTTGCGTCTCCTGATTCAGTGGACTCAGTCAAGCTTCAGTTTACTCTAATAACCACCTGGGTGTGAGCGGATCTGTGTTGGCAGAAGACGTAGTGAAAGCGGAGGAACCCTCAGCAGTCTAGGACCCAGGGAATCCGCAATACAGAAGTTCATGCCTTCAGAATTTGGCGCTTTTCCCAGGCACCCCCGCGGCTAAGGAGCACGCCCTGCCGGCGCATGCGCAATAGAGCCCACCGGCAACGCCCATGAGGTCCGCCATGACTTCCTGCTCAGGAAGTCGCCTCAGAGCGCTCTGCAGTTTCTGGTCAGACGAAGTCAGTCCAGGCTGAGGTAAGAAAGGGGGTCTAGGAATACCGTGGAGTCCAGCCAACC